AATGATTCTCTCTCATCATTGATTTTTCTATCCCTCTCCCTCTCCCTCTCTGAAATCAATAAAAAATAAAAATATAAAAATTTTAAAAAGCTAGTTCTAAGGACTAGTCTTTCTAATAATGGAGTCTAGTGTAAAATGCCTTCTGTCCTGGGCTATGAATTAAGTACCTGTGATAGAATAAACTAGTGGGCCAGGAATCACAGGAACTTTCTACACTTCCAGTCAAGTCAAGACTTATGGCAGTAGCCTGCTTGCCTATAATTTGACTAGAGGCCCGGTGCACGAAATTCATGCACAGGTGCAGTCCCTACGCCTGGCCGGCAATCGAAGCATGAGCATCTGGCGTGGAAGGGCAGGTCCCAGCTGACCCCTGGGCCCTGGGCAGCACCTGGGCCCCCAGGCCCCTGTGAGCCCCCCTGCACCTGAGTCATGGTGCCCAAGTCCCCACACGGAGATGCGGTGAGCGCGACCAGACACTGCGTGCCAGGGTGCAGCATGGGCCTCTGGGCCACCCAGCGGTGCCACACAGAAGCCAGGCAGGCAGTGCGCTCTCTCCCAGCCAGCCTCGCAGACCAGCTCCTGCGTGAAACCACGGGGAGCCCGACCGGCTCCTGCAATCCCAATGGCTGTGGGCCTGGCTCACCCAGAAGAGGCTGTGTGGGTGTGGGGTGTGGACCCGGCTCACCCAGAAGAGGCTGTGTGGGTGTGGGGTGTGGACCCGGCTCACCCAGAAGAGGCTGTGTGGGTGTGGGGTGTGGGCCCGGCTCACCCAGAAGAGGCATGGATGCAGGGTGGGCTCCTTGTGGGTGCCTGGCACCTGAACTCGAGCCCTGGCATCCCAGGGGGAGGTAGCAGGGGGAGTGAGAGCGAGCTCTGTAGGCACCCCGCATTCTCACCACGCCTCTGTCCCCGTCACCCCCACCCCCAGGTAACCAGAGAGAGGTTGCAGTGTGTCACTGACACCCAACATGTTCCGCGCTGCCTCTAATGGTCAGCGCATGTCATAGCAAGTGGTCGAACTCCCGGTCAAATGACTGCCTAAGGGGACAATTTGCATATTAGGCTTTTATTATATAGGATTACCTCTGTCCTTCTCTATAAGCAATAAAAAGCAGTATTCAGATCAGCAATCACAGCCAAGTGCAGAAAAGAAAATAAATATGCCTCGGATAAGAGGAACCATTACTTTCCTAGAAATGTTTGTAAAATAGTGTTTCTTGAGGTCATCTGAAAAAGAAGATAGATATCTAATGGGAACAGTTGCATTCAGAGAAAGATGCAGATTCTTGGAAATAGACCAAAGAAGAACAGCAAACAATGATCACAGCACTGGAAGAGAGAGTGTATGGCAAGATGTGCACAGGTCCTGGAGAAAAGCTCCTACTAAAGTCTCCCTCACCAGAGAGGCTTAGTTAGCTGGTCTGCTTGCAGGCTGAGATCTGAATCAAGGCAGTGAAGAGGCATTTACAACACACCAGATTTTTCAGAAACATACTAGGAAGCTATGTTCATTCTCTCAGGTGCTACGGTAAAAATCGGGGTTTCTCAAACTGTCCTTTGTGGAGGACGTCTAGAGATTAAGGAATCAGAAGCATCTGTTTCAAAGCACATTCGGCAGTCGCCATCCGAAACCGGGGTTTGTAGGTGAGCAGTCGTTTAGAGACAGAGCACAGGACAACCATTTGGAAGGACACCCTAAGGGCCACAATGATGTTGAACATTATACTTCTTCTGGTTAATATCCTCACCTTGGTCTACTTCCTCCCATAATTCAAGTAAATTATTACTAGATGAATAAAGCTAGATCTTGAATTTAAAACCCAAATTTTGGACAAATTCTTAAATTAGAGAGTTATTTAAATTAAAGAGTTATTTAAAGCAAATAAAATTTGGAGAGGGGTTGCTCTCTATTGGCACTTTCTGATTTGGTTGCTTATACAAATGTCCTTGCAAAGTCACTTAGCACTATTGATTCGCATTCTATATCCACACCAAAGGTCTGCTCTCAATTTACATAGAATTATTTTAAATTGTTGTACTGCATTACTACATCTATACCTGCTTTTTTGTTTACATGAACCATTAATTAATTTATTTTTTATTAGTGTGTGTGTGTGTGTGTGTGTGTGTTTTAATCCTCACCTGTGAATATTTTTCCATTGATTTTTAGGGAGAATGGAAGAGGGAGGGAAAGTCCAAGAGAAACACGGATGTGAGAGAAACACATCAACTGGTTGTCTCCTGCACGAGCCCCAACCAGGACCCGGGTCGGGGAAGAGCCTGCAACCAAAGTACGTGCCCTTGATGGGAATTGAACCTGGAACCCTTTGGTCCACAGGCTGAGGCTCTATCCACTGAGTCTCCACAGGGGGAGTGCCACTCAGCCAGAAGCAGGGCTCACGGCTGGTGAGCGCAGTGGCAGTGGCAGGAGCCTCTTCCGCCTCCACAACAGCGCTAAGGATGTCCAACTGCTGGCTTTGGCCCGCTTCCCACAGGGAGCAGGCCTAAGCCATCAGCCGGACATCCCCTGAGGGCTCCGGGACTGTGAGAGGGCGCAGGCCAGGCTGAGGGACCCCCTCCTGAGTGCATGAATTTTGTGTACCAGGCCTCTAGTATTATAATAAATTCATATATTCACCCACTGTCAACAATTTGCCACATTCATATTCTTTTTTCCCAACTTTATTGAGTTATAATTGACATATAACATTGTATATGTTTAAGTTACACAACATGATGATTTGATACACGTACATATTGTAGAATGATTACCACAAGAAGGTTAGTTAACACCTCTATCCCCTCACATAATTACCATTTGCATGTGTGTATATGTGTGATGAGAACATTTAAGATCTATTCTCATAGCAGAATATAATACAGTATTGTTCATTACAGTCATATTGCTGAACATTAGATTCTGAGAACTTATTTATCTTATAACTGGAAGTCTGTACCCTTGACCAACATCTCTTCATTTTCCCCTCCCCTTGCCCCTGGCAACCAGCATTCTATTCTTTGTTTCCATGAGTTGGATGTTTTCAATTTCACATGAGCGAGATCATACAGTAATTGTCTTTGTCTGACTTATTTTACTTAGCAAAATGACCTCAAGGTCCATCCATGTTATTGTAAATGGCAGGGTTTCCTTCTTTTAAATAAATAGATATAGATATAGATATAGATATAGATATAGATATAGATATCACATTTTCTTTATCCATTCATCCATTGATGGATACATGTTATTTCCATATCTTGGCTATTATGAATAATGCTGCAATGAACATGGAGACTCAGATTTTTCTTCAAGATTATGATTTCATTTCCTTCTACTATATACCCAGCAGTTGGATTACTGGATCATATAGTATTTTTATTTTTTATTTTTTGAGGAATCTCCATACTGTTTTCCATATGGCTGTACCAATTTACATTCTACTAATAGTGCTCAAGGGTTTCCTTTTCTCCACCTCCTCACCAACACTTGTTATCTTGTGAGTTTTTTTATAACAGCCATTCTAACAGATGTGTGTGATGTCCAATTGTGGTCTTAATTTGCATTTCCCTGATGGTTAGTGATGTTGAGCACCTTTCGTGCACCTGTTCATTATCGTATGCCTTCTCTGGGAACATGCCTCTTCAGGTCCTCTGTCCATTTTTTAATCAGGTTATTTGATTGAGTTTGCTCTTTGGAGGGATTTTGCTTTGTTTTATTATTGAGTTGTGATGAGTTCCTTTTATACCGATGAGTTCCTTATCAGTATACAACTTGCAAATATTTTCCTTCATTTTATATGTTGCCTTTCCATGTTGTTGATTGTTCCTTTTGCTGTACAGAAACTTTTTAGTTTGATATAAATCCACTTGTTTATTTTTGCCTTTGTTATTGTTTCCAAAGTGGCCCTAATCCAGCTGAAGGGTAAGTGCTACAGGGACTCCTGACCATTTTGTTCTGCCCTGTTTTCAACTGTCTGAATTCTAATGTCATTACTTGCTGTTCATCCCTAATTCTCTTTTGGGTTTTGATCACTTCTACCCATAGATTTCTCACCGACTTGTGAGCCTTAGTACTGACTTCCTGATGCTTGCCACATATCCTGTGATTGAAATTGGTTGCTCAGGTTTTCAGACAGTTTGCTTCTTTGTAATATAAGCATTCACTTCGTGCCCCCATCCACCTTCACGGGTCAGTTTCTTCTTCAGCACAGTTGGAAGGTTGGACTTTTATCTTACATTCCTCTACAGCTGTGTTTTCAGAAGTTATTGCTCAGTTCCAGGTGCTGTTCTCTACCGTTTCTATTTCTATAGTTTCTTATTTACTTCTCTGATTACCCCAGCCTGAAACTTCCAGGCTACTTCTCTCATTTGAACTCCTCCCCCTTTTCATGGGCATCAGAGTAAAGGTAGACATGGATGAGGACATTACCTAATAGTGCTTGTTTTTTATTCTTCACAACACTGCCATGTAAGACTGAATAGGTATTTCCAATATCCTTTTAAAGGGTTAATGTAATCAAAGGAAGGTAGAAACTTAAATTACTGATTTAAATGCTGATAATAAAAGCATTTAATGCCATACATTTTCTTCTAAGTGCTGCTTTAGCTGCATCCCCAAATTTTTAATGTTATATATTTATTTAGTTCAAGATATTTCTTAATTTTCCTTAAGATATCCTCTTTGATCAGTTGGTTATTTAAAAGTATGCTCTCTAATTTCAGAATATTGGGGGGGATTTTTCATACATCTTTCTGTTATTTTTTAAGTTTGATTCTATTATCATATTTTAGTTCTATCTCTTGCTTACATGTAATTTTATTATTCTATTTTGTTCCTGTTGAAATTTATAGAATATATTTTTATTTTTATTAGTCAAACTGAAAATGTTACTAATACATTTTAAATAAAGTTAATTAATATCTTAACCATTCTCCTGTAGGACGCTAGGCCGTGGAAACTTGTACTCTAAATATTGCCTGGCTTACATGTTCTTATTTCCAATAATTTTAGTTTTGAATAACTAACCCCACAAACTAGATATTGTTATTATTTTTTGTTACAGGTCAGATTCCCTAGGAAACAGCATCTGAAATGGAGATTGATACACAGGAAGTTTATTGGAGAGTGCTTTTGTGTGTGTATATGTTGGGGTGGGGCGAGATGGGAAGCTGTACGAAGGAAGATTGGTCAGAGGGACAAGTTGAACTGTGGTGCAGTCACAACGAAGTGCTCAGCCAAATTCATAGGAAGTTGGAGCTGAAATGGCCCTGGGTTCCTATTCTTAGAAGTGATAAGAGCTTCTTTAAGAATTGCCAGGTTGGTGTGGGTCAGTGGTTGAGCGTGGACCCATATACCAAGAGGTCACCTCTGAGAACAGCACCCTAGTAAGAGATTAGTTGCAATAGCGCCCTCTTGTGGACAGTCTAAGAACAGCACCCTAGTAAGATGAATATTCTTGGAGTCTGAAAACCCAATTGACAGTCCTAGAGGCCTGTGGCCCTTGCAGGCAGGTGTTGCAATAGCGCCCACTGGTTGGTATTCTAAGAACAGCAACGTAGTTAGGGATTAGTTGCAATAGTGCCCTCTTGTGGACATTCTGAGAATAGCACCCTAGGTGTTCAATTTTCAGTGAGGGCACATGTCCGGGTTTTGGGTTCTATCCCCAGTAGAGGGCGTACTGGAGGCAGCCAATCTATGTTGATGTCTCTCCCTCTCCCTTCTTCTCTCTAAAATCAATAAAAACATATTTTTTAAAAGAATAAATAACAGACAGAACCTAGAGACAGAACCTAGAGACAGGACTTGGCTGGAGATCCTAGACAGAACCTAGAGACAGAACCTAGAGACAGGACTTGGCTGGAGATCCTAGACAGAACCTATAAGAAACGCCCTAACCTTGGGAATAGAGATTGATAGGATTGGAATCAACTGGTATAAATGCGGATGTAACAAGAGAACACACACAGAACCTAGAGACAGAACCTGGCTACAGAACCTGGATAGAACATGGCAAGAGAACCTGACTAGAACCTGGTGACTGAACCTGGCTGGAGATCCTAACCAGAACTTGGCTGGATCCAAACCAGAACTTCACTGGAGATCCAAACCGGAACTTTGCTGGAGATCCTGACCAGAACTTCACTGGAGATCCAAATCAGAACTTCGCTGGAGATCCTGACCAGAACTTCACTGGAGATCCTGACCAGAACTTGGCTGGAGATCCTGGCTAGAGATCCTGGCTAGGCTGCTGATCAACTGAAGGCTGATTCCATGTCATTCCTTCTTCGCTGACTCCGTCCACACCTTTGGGGACCCCTGGACCCGCTGGGGTTGGACCCCAGCACTTCTCAAACAGCAGAGGATTACTACCCAAAGCAATCTACAGATTCAATGTAATCACTATCAAAGCCCATGGCATTTTTCAAGGAAATAGAACAAATCCTAAAATTTGTATGGAACCACAAAAGACACCCAAATAACCAAAGAAATCTTGAGAAACAAAAACAAAGCTGAAGACATCAGCTGCTCCCTCATTTTAAACTATATTCCAGAGCTACAGTAATCAAAACAGTATGATATTGGCATAAAAACAAGCACACATATCAATGGAACAGAAGACAGCCCACAAATAAACCCAATACAACTCAACAACAAATCTGATTTAAAAAATGGGTAGAGAATCTGAATAGACATTTTCCAAATAAAATGTAAAAAAGTACATGAAAATGTGTTCAACATCACTAATAATCAGGATAATGCAAATCAAAACCACAATGCAATATATCACCTTACATGTTAGAATGTTTTAAAAAAAAAAAAAAAAAAAGAATAAATAACAGTGAGAGCTCTGACAGGTCAACCTTTCCTCTACCCAGGATGACCCTACCATACATTGGCAAATACTTTTTTTTATTAATATATTTTATTGATTTTTTACAGAGAGGAAGGAAGAGGGATAGAGAGCTAGAAAGATCAATGAGAGAGAAACATCGATCAGCTGCCTCCTGCACACTCCCTACTGGGTATGTGCCCTCAACCAAGGTACATGCCCTTGACCGGAATCGAACCTGGGACCCTTGAGTCTGCAGGCCAATGCTCTATCCACTGAGCCAAACCGGTTAGGGCGGCAAATTCTTTTGTTGAGGGAAAATTTACATACAATTAAGTCACCTATTTTAAGTGTACAGTTTGACAAGTTTTAATAAATATATACTACACCCATGTAACACCACAATCAAAATACAAAATATTTTTCTCACTCCAAAATTCTCTCATATCCCTTAGCAGTCAGTGCCTCCTCTCCAGCACCAGGTAAACTTTGATATTATTTCTATAACTATTAGTGGACTTGCCTATTCTAGAAATTCACATAAATGGAATCATACAATATTATGTTTGGTGCCTAGATTTCTTTGCTCAGTATATGTTTTATATTCATCAATGTTGCTGTGTGTAACTATAGTTCATTCCTTTTTATTACTGAGTAGTTTTCCATTTTATGAACATGCACAAATACTTATTATTCACTTGATGGTGGACATGTGAGTTATTTCCATCATAGGGCTACTATAAACAAGCTGGTATGTACATTCGAGTGCAAGTCCCATCGTGAACATATGCTTTCATTTCTCTTGGATCAATACCTAGGAATGAAGTTGATGTGACATTTGAAAGTGTATGATTAATTTATTTTTAAATGTCAGACATTTTGATCCAAAATGCTGAATCATTTTTGCATCCCATCAACAATGTATGAGAGTTGCCATTGTGCCACATGCTCAGCAACACTTGGTATTACCAGTCTCTAATTTTGGCTGCTCTAGTAAGTATATAATGGTATCTCACTGCTCATGAATATCTCTATATGTAACAACTGACCGATCCTAAATCATCTTTTGTAAAGTTCCTGTTCAAATCTTTTGTCTATTTTTCATTATTTTGTCTATTTTTCTTCTTCTTCTTTTTTTTAATCCTCACCCAAGGCGTGAGAATATATTTTCCATTGATTTTTTTTTTAGAGAGTGGAAGAAAGAGGGGAGGGGGAATAAGAGGAGAGAAACATTGATGTCAGAGAGACACATTGATTAGTTGCCTCACACATATACCCCAACCGGGGCCATGAATCGAACCCGCAACCTTCTGGTGCACAGGCCGGTGCTCTAACCAATGAGCAACACCCAGCCAGGGCTGTCTATTTGTCATTATGTTGTCAACTCTTTCAAAGTTAGAAGAGTTTTTTGTATATACTATATACAAGTTATTTTTCAGATATATTTATTGTAAACATTTTCTCTCAATCTATGGCTTGCCTTTTTTATTTTTAGTAGCTTATGAATAGCTTTATTTGTTCTTACATAGTCAGAAATCTAGAAGCAAAGAGTGCAGATTTGGTGCTTTGAATAATAATCAAAGGCAAAATTGTGTGGAATGTCAGATTTGAATTCTGGCTCCACAAGTTAATAACTGTCTGGCCCTGGACAATGTGTTTGCCTTCTCTGTGCCGTAGCTGCCTGATACATATATAAATTGTACATCATGATAATAACTACCTCCTAGGATTCTTGTGAGGCTTCAGTGAGGTAATTTTATAAAACTCTTATCAGAGTGCTTAGCAGAGTGCATATTCAGCAAATGGTCTCTTTTGTATTGTAATTTTACTACATCCTCTTCTTTATGTCCTCTCCATTCATTCTTGATGCTTATATCAGTGAGTTGGAGATGAGGATACAAGAAGCTAGTTCTATGAAGGTGAATTTTTCCCCAGGCAAGATTTTTGCATTCAGAAAAGCCAGCTCTGAATGAAGGGGGTATCTGATCATGGTAATATGGACCCTTCATTAAGATGTGGATAACTGAAAGTAATAGATAACTCTACTAGCCAAAGTTTGTTTTGTTCACTGCTATATACCTAGAGTCTAGACCAGTGTCTGACAGGTTATAAATCTTGATAAATATTTCTTTCTTTTTTTTAATCCTCACCTGAGGATATGTTTATTGATATTTTAGAGAAAGAGGAAGGGAGAGAAACATTGATCAGTTGCCTCCTGTACATGCCCCAACCGGGAATCAAACCCACAACCTAGGTATATGCCCTGACTTGGAATCGAACCTATAACCTTTTTGGTGTACAGGATAATGCTCCAACCAACTGAGCCCCCCAGCCAGGGCGATAAATGTTTCCTAAATTAAGGTCATGACACATTTTTATACAAAAACTAGAGGCCCAGTGGATGAATTCATGCATGGGTGGGGTCCGGCTGGCCCGCCCTGATGGAGGCCATCAGGGCCAGGCTGGCCAGGGGGAGGGGCCACAGACGGTTGGGGGGGGCCGATCAGGGCCCTGATCGGGCCGGTTGGCCGTCGCAGTGTGTGTCATTGCGACTGGTCATTCTGGTCATTCCGGTCATTCCGGCGTTCTGGTCACTTGGCTTTTATATATATAGATATAACTTAATACCTAAAAAAAAAAAAACAATATATAGCTCTTTCATTTCCACTAAACTCACAGATAATACCTCAGGAAAAAAAGCTAAAATTTAAACAAACTTTTAAGCACAAGTTGGATATTTTTATTACTATTATCATAAACGCTAAGTCAATAAACACTAACTTTCCTTTCTACCTAGAAAAAACTCTTATTCTTCCCTTTCTCCCCTGGTATCTCCCTCAGGCTCTTTACACAACCCAAGACCTAGGCAGCTATATTTTATTCTCAGCTACTCCCTCAAAGAAAATACACTAATTACTCCCTCGCATTTCCTCATGCAAGTCCTTCCACTCGCTCTTTCACCTGTCGAGGTAAAACACTTGTCAGTTTCTTCCCGCAAGGGCCATCCTAGTCTGTCACTCAGGAAACCCAACCCCTGCCCCGACCCTGTGCTCTCTTCCTTCCGGCCTAGATCTGTTCTCAGCTTTCATGCGGGAGGACCTGAGTGCTATGCTTCTGTGGCACGTTTCCTTCTCCAGTGGTCAGTCAGCTACACTTCACTGTCTGCCTCCATTATCTTGAAGGGGCCTGACCTGGTTTTATGTTAATATGTGATGTTAAACTATTAAGTAACAGAACAAATTATCTATAGGATTATACTGTAGTTTCCTCCTGCTTCCAAGAGATTAAAGCAGGTCTTAACCCATGCCAGAGTAGAAAGACTGCTAACCTAGTCCTTGGAGGTCATACTCTAGATAACCCATTCCAGTGCTGCAAGGACAGATCATAGCATACTCACATTCACCTTGGGGTTCATTGTGAGAATCAGCTACATATTAAATAAGCTCCTGTTTGCTTATTCAAAGTATTGGATAAAGATTGGTTTTAATTGTAGCTATTCTTATGTCTTCCCAGTCTTCCCCAACTCCATAAGAAAAAGGCCATTAAATTTGAGTGGAACACCTGAGTGTGGTCCCTGGTGGACCAGCACATCTGACTGGAGCAACTGCAGCTGCTCCATTTGGCTGCAAACTGCACCTCGTCCCCAGTGAGGCTCTTCTCAAGCCCCACAAGGGAAGGGAGGTAGGAAAAGCAGTGGTGTCCATAGCAGCACATATAGAATAGGGATGACAGACTTCGGTGAGCACCCTGGGGTGGGGAGAAGCCAGTACCATGGAGCCTCCACAGGAGAGAAGCAGAAAGTGCGGAGCTGGCAGCTGGCAGAAGAATCTAGTCCAGGGGTGAGACAACCAGGACAGAAGGAGTTGACTCCGAGCCCAAAGCAGGTCAGGCCTCCTCTCCACTGAATCTGAGTATCTCGAGTTTTTCTGGGCTGACACTATTCTCTGCCTACAAAGGGGACAACCCCTGATCCAACCTAAACAAATTCAGAAAAGAGTTTGCCATATTTTTTAAATGTTCTGTTTGTTCCAGGAGGTTCCAATGAACGGGGCCCATATTTGCCAACAAACTTCCGGAGGCTCTACAAGAAGAAACTTCATTTCCCCAACTCTGATCCTGTCAAGTGAGCCTCATCTTATTTTCATACCCAAAACTCCTGCTGTAAATAATAGTTCGCCCCATAAGAATCACCTCTATGAAATCAGCAGCGGTAGGTGGGTAAGTATGGGTTTCCCACCATCACCACCCCCTTAGTCCTTGTTCTGCCTCTAAGCCTCTATGGGCTAATCATATCCCCTCTTCTTATTTTTTTTAATATATTTTTATTGATTTCAGAGAGGAAGGGAGAGGGAGAGAGAGATGGAAATGATAAGAGAATCACTGATTGGCTGCCTCCTGCACACCCCACACTGCATAACCCCTCTTCTTCATAGGAATCCCTCCAATATTTGAAAACAGCTATCATATTCTTCCAGTAATTTGTCTTTTCCAGATTGAACATTTCCACATTCTTCATATGTTCCTAATACATCACAGTTCCCAATGCCTAATTCATGATAATCAACAAAATCTCAAATCATTTTTACATAAATAACTACCAAGTCATCTTAACCTTCCTGTATTTTTTCTACTGATTGTTAAAGCCTACATTCAGATTTTATATGTGCCCTGTTAAATTTCTTCTTGTGTTTAGTCTAGCATTCCAAAAGACAAGATTACTTTGAATTGTAATCTATCAACTGTAATATTGGTTTCCCCTCTTTATTTCATATCATCTGAAATTTGTTGAGCCATGCATATTTATATGTCTACTAAAGTCACTGCTAAAATAGGTAAAGAAGACAAGCTCTATAAAACCTTCTCCTTAAAAAAATAATAAAATAAAACCTTCTCCTTCACATAGATATCTTTCTCTGATTTTTAGAGTGTCATTAATGAATAATTTTGGTGGACAGTAGCCAAGCTAAGGGTATTAACTTTAAGCTCATAGTCATTATCTTTTCTATGAAGCTTTACTGAAATTAGTATGTTCTTTTTCTATCTGTTTCTCCTAATCTACTAAATTATTAATACTATAAATAAAGGACATTACTGAGGTTTTACATTATAATTAACATCACATAGCTCCTGGTGATGCCTCCTTCAGGGACTTCCAAGTGTTCTATAAAACATCTACTTAAAAATTTTACTAGGGACCAAGGTCAAATTCACTGGTTAGCAAGAGCAACGGTAACTTTTTGATCATAAGCACTGATTCAGAGTCCAGACCTGAAAAGTTTTGGGTCATTGACTGATTAGTTGGTTTGGTTAGTTTTATCTAGTTTCTTCCCTTGCTCCATCTCTCTGCTAAACCCAGGGTCCTATTCCATTCTCAATTAAAGTCTCTTTCCTGGCTCTTTAAGAAGTCACTAGTGTAGAGAAGATAAAATATGTTAGATTACATCTGAAAGTATTCTATTCACTCTATGTCTGTACCTCTCATGTGACCAAATGTGTTTCTGCACAGCAGCCCAAAACCAGAGGGGAAAGAAAGGACCAGGAAGGAACACAAAAACCCTGTGTTCTCACTGCCATCTGTGAATGTGAATGTCATCTTTCTTAACTGAAAAAAATGAGAAAACTCTATATCCGGTTGGGCTTTCTGGTTTCTTCCAAGTGGCAATATTCTTGTATTCCCTCAGTTAGGGGGGAACCAGAGATTCCTTCTCTCTTTTAGTAATCTTTGAAATGCTTTTTTCTCTACCCAAGCAACAATTGTCAGATGCTGTGATTTTTCTGTGGCAATTTACTATTGGAAAATTATTGTAACTAACTCATTCATTTATTCATTCATTCATTCATTC